CATCGCGATCCGATCCGTTGGCGCATTCCAGCCTTTTCCTCAGGGTCCAACAAGCAGCCGTGATCCCCTTGCCGCCTGGCTCCTCCTCCTTCCCCCCCACAGATTCCTTACGATCCTACCCTCTCTTCCCCCGAGACACCACCACCGCCTTCTCCTCCTCCTCCTCCCCTTCTGCCTCCGAACACGGCTTTCCCCCCCATACGTGCTGGATGAGTATCTCGATCGCCGCCTCTTCCAATGCACAGACGCTCGTCTGGCTCGCCAGCCGAGGACGACGCTGAAGAATCCCTGGCCCCCGTCTCTCGCACCCCGACAGACCCGAGTCCTGCGCCTCAAGTCCTCGATCCGCCGGAAAAATCGCGTCCGCAGGCCGCTGCCAGGACCGGCACCAGCTTCGATCTTCGTCGAGATGCCTCCAATCCGCGTTCCCGAAATTCTAGCCTTTGGCGCACTTCCTCCTCCTCCACCGAATCCCGCTCCTCCGCCGTTATGATGCCGCTGGCTTCCCAGCGATTGCCCATGGAAGCCTCCCCGGACGGTCACCTCCGCTTTCGACCGTCGCGCCTCCGCAGTCCCTGGCCCGTTTCCATCCTGACCGCGCTCACCACCCTGGTCGCCTCGATTTTTCTCTTCTTCATCCTCCGGTCCTTCTCCGAACGGCAAATTGGCGGCGATGGCTGTGGAATTCCCGTCATGAGTCCCACCTTCCTTCGCATGGTGGGATTCGATACGGAACATACCCGGTTTGCGAGCAAGTATAATCTGTTTCTCTATCGGGAGGAGGGTGTCGACCCGTACAACCAGGAGAACTTGGGCGTAAGTACCTGGCCAATGATTGTGTCGCGTGGCTGTGGCGTTTCCTCCCCGATCGCAGGCTGACTGTGTATTCTGCTACATCCAGTTGAACGGTGCCCCTGTCCTCTTCCTCCCCGGAAATGCCGGCAGCTATCGACAAGTTCGCTCCCTGGCGGCCGAAGCTTCGAGACACTATGCCGACGTCGTCCGACATGATGAGGAGCGGCTCAAATCAGGTACCCGCAGCTTAGACTTTTTCATGATCGACTTCAACGAAGACCTGGCGGCCTTCCATGGCCAGACACTACTCGATCAGGCGGAATATGTCAATGAGGCCGTGTCATACATCCTCTCGCTCTACCATGATCCGCGACGGTCGCGGAGGGACCCTGGCCTTCCCGACCCCAGCGCGGTGATTTTAGTTGGGCATTCCATGGGAGGCATTGTCGCACGCACGGCGTTAACAATGACGAATTACCAGGCAAACTCGGTCAACACGATTGTCACCATGTCTGCACCGCACGCAAAGCCCCCGGTTTCGTTCGAATCGGACATCGTTCATACATACAAGCAAATCAACGATTACTGGCGGGATGCCTACTCCCAGACCTGGGCGAACAATAACCCACTGTGGCACCTTACGCTGATCTCGATCGCGGGTGGTTCGCGCGATACGGTGGTTCCGTCGGACTACGCTAGTATCTCGTCGCTGGTTCCGGACACGCACGGCTTCACGGTTTTCACCTCGACGATCCCTGATGTCTGGATCGGTATGGACCATCTGTCAATTACGTGGTGTGACCAATTCCGCAAGGCAATCATCAAGTCGTTGTTCGACGTGGTGGATGTCCGTCGGGCCAGCCAGACAAAGCCCAGGGCCGAGCGCATGCGGATCTTCAAGAAATGGTATTTGACTGGATTAGAGCCGACCGCTGAAAGAACGCTCCCACAGAAAGGTGCGTATGCGATAGCACTCGTCGATACTGTTGCTAACTGTTATTAGAACCATCTACATTATTGACGCTGGAAGATAGCACCAACATCATCCTGCCGCAAGGCCAGCGACTAATTCTTCGCGAGCTCGGCCACAGTCCGAATACCAACGTCCACTTGCTTCCCGTTCCGCCGCAGGGTGTGTCGGGGAAGAAGTTTACTCTTCTCACAGATCAGAAATTAGACAACCCCGGAGAGCAGGGGACATTGGAGGTTCTCTTCTGCAGTGTCTTCCCGTTGCACAACGGCAAGTTTGCCAGCATTTTTTCGATGAACATGGACTTTTCCGGGAGCAGCGCCGGCTCGACGCGCCTGGCTTGCAAGAACGCTGCGGAGGATGGCATACACCTACCAGCGTCGACGAGGACCTCGAAGCAAGCGTATGACCGGACCTCTCCTTTCTCGTATCTCCAGTACGATCTGGAGGATTTGGTCGAGCACCAGTTTGTGGCAGTGGTCGACAAAGCGCGGTCTCCGACTCGCGGCTGGGTAGTGGCGGAGTTCTCGGACAGCTCTGACTCGGTCATCCGAGCTCGTGTGGGCTTGGGCGGCTTGCTCAGTGCTGGACTGAAGATGAGACTTCCGGCGAACCGCCCGATGCTCACCGAGGTCAGAATTCCGGCGCTGCATTCGAGCTTGTTGAATTACAAGCTTAAGATCGTCCGCCGGGGTTACGGAGAACAGCCCGAGCTGTTTGCACCGCTATTGCGCCAGTCGATCCCTGATCCCCACGAGTCCAAGTTCTTTGTCAATGTGAAGCAGGTCAATGTCAATTTGCACGGAGTCGCTCCGTTCATGCCTCCGCCTCTTCGTGAGCAAGCCGCCCTGGGTGGAGTGTCTTTCCATTTGTGGACAGATCCGAGCAGCGAGTCAACGGTTGACATCTCCTTGTCGGTGGACGTCCTGGGTAGTCTAGGTGAGCTCGTGATGCGGTACCGCACCGTCTTTGCTGCCTTCCCGATTTTGGTAATTGCTTTGGTTCTGCGCAAGCAGTTTCAGGTCTATGACGAGACGGGTTATTTCATCACCTTCGCAGAGGGGTTGGATAGTACACTGCGGTCGTCTTTGCCTATTTTGCTGCTCGCCATGTCGTTGCTGGCTTCTTCCCTGGCTACGTCAACTACGCTGCCTCCAAGCGATGATCCATTTCATTGGCGCACCAACTCCACGGAGTCGCCCATTGATTTCACGAAGAATGACCTACTGTTGGGATCGCAGGATGCATTCTTTTGGTTCTTGGTTCCTGTGTTCGGTCTGATCAGTGTGGGCGTGTGCGTGATGATGAATTATGTGGCTCTGTCCCTGCTGTCGGTTTTGTCTTTCTTCTATGGTCTGTTGAACAGCAAGTCGGGGTATATCAAGCGTGATGACAAGGGGTGAGTTATCCTCTACTACGCTGCATGCACAATGCTAACCATATCAGCAACCTTCCCATCTTTTCGGCCCCTACGCCCAGACGGCGGTTGATTAACACCGCTATTCTGCTGGTTCTTGTTGCGACTACCATCCCGTATCAGTTTGCCTATATGGTGGCGTGCATCGTGCAGCTCGCTACTTGCGTGCGAGCCCAATGGCATGCGAAAGAGACGGTATGCATACTTGCATTGTTGACTTGCGTTTGCTAATAATCCCAGAAATCTACAACTCATTATAATTTTGCCAATCTTACATACTCGATCTTTCTCCTGATGCTGTGGATCCTGCCGATTAACATCCTTGTCCTGCTCGTGTGGGCACATAATCTTGTGGTGCATTGGTTCATGCCATTCTCCTCCCACCACAATGTGCTGTCAATCATGCCATTTATCCTGCTCGTTGAGGCCATGACGACAGGAACGATGGTCCCTCGAGTCAGCTCACGGTATGCTCCTTCAATACTAGTGTAATCTCAAAACTAACTGAACAGGCTAAAAAACGTCACCTCCCTCATTCTCTTCGCCCTTGCCATCTACTCCGCAGTCTACGGCGTCTCCTACGGCTACCTTCTCCATCACCTTACTAATCTCTTCGCCGCCTGGCTCGTGGGAATCTACCTCTTCAGCAGCGGCTTCTCACCTCGCCGACTTTGGCGCATCCTAGAAGGCGACGATGCGAACTCCTCGGCCGAACCAGGGAGTAGTCACATGAAGAAAAAACCATAATTCTACTACACCATACATATCTTTATTCTTTATTCTTCAATTATATGTCCCGTTGCATCTCACCGGTTGCGGACCATGATTAACGGCGTTTTGCTATTTTTGGAAGCGGCGTTTGCTTTTTGTTTTCTGACCGTGGGTCGATGTACAGGATTGTGCTTGTTATGTGCTCATATGAATGATTTTATATTATATCGTGTTTGAGTGATCCTGACAGAAGGTGGGATCTGTGTTGGCGGATGGATGTATCTTATTAGCTTTGTGTGTGTTGTTGATACTGTCTGAGTGTGAGTGTGTGTTTGTATATACGGTTGGATCTGGAAATAGACTTTGGCCGGGTAATAGTGACGAGAGATGGTGTTGCTGTTCATATTTTCCCACTATAGTATAACTTGTCAAGACAAAGGAGCAAAGATATGGATTTGATCTATCTAGATCTCAAGAAGATGGTTGGTGGGTGGTAGGAAGAGGTGGTGGTCAGAGGCCACGCAGGAAGAAGAGGCGAAGGATCAGCTGACAGCTGCCTAGCTGTAGTAAATGTCTTAACAGATTTATTCACTATTAAGTACATGTATAGCTTTGAGGGATGTGAAACGGATCATCTTATATGGAAATATAGGATGTTATTAGAGACCAGAATATATGGAAGCTGACAAGCTCTGCATGCGCAGGAGTCGAGATACGAATTCATAGACCAGGGATATCTTGGATTATATCCTATCTGGTGACAACTAAATCTTTTCTTGGCTCGGAAGTGTGTCTTCAATGAGGTTAATCTACTACTGCGTCTGACCAGATTTAGCAGCTCGATTTGGAATCAGACTTGTCTCGTGGTAGATGCCCGTGGTCAGCAAGGTAGATCCCACTTCGGGATATGCTGCGTCATGTCTAATGTGGCTTGGATATGGCGTAGAATGATCAAGGCACTCGACTGAAGAGGCACGAGGTGCAAATGCTATAAGTTATGTTGAGACATTCACTGCAGCCAGGCAGCTGTCAGCTGATCCTTCGCCTCTTCTTTTTGTATGGTCTCCGACCACCACCTCTTCCAACTAACCAACCCCTTGAGATCTAGATAGATCATATCTATATATCTTTGACCCTTCGTCTTGACAAACTCCACCCCCGAGGCCCCCCGAAACGTAAGGAACAAGCCAAAATGCTCATCTTCCTCGGCAAACTTACCTACCCGCCCTACGCCACGAACGAACTCTTCGCCGTCATCTTCAGCAACAACATGCAACAGGGCGAAAAAGTAGCCGTCGTTCACCAATGGACTAGGGATGCGGCGGGGCAGGCAAAAGCCAATTCCTTTGCGCAGGGGACTGTTGATAAGGCGGTTATCACGTCGACGGGGGAGAAGGAGATTGAGTTCTTTTATGGGGAGAGGGAGACGACTTATTACTGGTACATGAATTCTCTTGACTTTCACCTGGGAATGTTGTTTCAGGGCAGATGAGTGAGTGCTAATAATTTCGGCGTTGTGTGTAGGTATAAAGGCACCCAATCCGGGAGTAAATTGACATTGTCGATGTTCAACAAGAGCGGAGAAGAGGTGGTCAAGAAGATTGAGCTGTTGGCGACGTATTATTGATTATAACCTATTCTGCTTTCATTGTCCTCTCATAGTTCATACATCATAAGGCTACTTGCATTAGACAGAAAGGAACAGAACTCATCAAGGAGCAGTCTATGAGCTATCATCTCTCCACTTCCACCTTCCATATCCGTGACATGGAATGGTTATCGCCTCACCCTCTCAAATACTGCCTCATACCTCTCCACCGCCTCATTAAACCTCCTCGCCGACCCAGTTGACCTTTCTACCGCGTCAAATAGTCTCTCCCGTGCTTCGGTATGCCTTCGAAAGATATCGTGGGAGTCATCTTCTGATGTATCGTAGCTCTTCTTTGCTTCTTCGGTTGTCTTTTGTGCTTGCGCCGGCATGTCTCGTGCTGAGTGGGCTGCTTCTCGTGCCTGTTCGAGGGCTTCGATGAGAGGTGAGGGTTCATAGTCCGTTTGGGTTAGAGGGAGGTGGGATTGGTATTGGCAGAAAGAGGACATGTTAAAGGTTGAGGGTGTATAGGTAGGGAGGTTGCGCCTGAGCAGAGGAATTATGTTTGCCTGTGAAGGTGGATTTGGGGTCTTGATGGGAAACAGTTGTGTTAGGTGCAGTTACCAAAGCAGCGGTAATATTAGAATGATAGTTGAATTTTAAGTGCATGATAAAGGCCTGTACTCATTGAGCTCAGAGTATGTATTGCGGTGTTTTAGAGTAGATGCTGCAGCTTTCAATTCTTCCTTGCTTGCTAACTAGTCCTGCTATTCTTCCGCTTCTTTCCTTACCCACTGTTCCTCCACTTCCTTTTTCTGTGATTCATCAGACTCTTGATGTCCTCCATCTTCTTTCAGCTGTTGCTCATTCACTAATTTTCCTTGCATAATTTCTGTCTCGTGCTTCTTGACTTCTCCACCATGCATTAAATTCTCTTATTTGTGCTTCTTGACATTCTCTGTATGCATCAAATTCTCTTCCTATTGCTTCATACATTTTCTGTCGTGCTTCATGTATTTTCTCCCGTGCTTCATGCAGTTCTTCTTGTGCTTCTTTTTCTCTTTCTTGTGCTCCACTAGCCACCTTCAAACACATATCAGCGCGTTCCTCTGCTTTCCTGGTTTTTTCCCTCTCTCTGTCCAGTTCTGCCTTGGCTTCAGAGTAGAGAGCCTTGTAATCCGGTGAGCCCTCACAATTCATATTTCATACGAAGGTGAACGTGAGATTGATCAGAATGGTATCAGGTCAGTAGGGTGAGGTGGATGGTTATTGAAGGTTTGACTACCAAAGACCTTGAAGGGGAGGATTGTGGTATTTGTAGATGCACTCATTGAGAATATTCTGCGAGGGAACGAGTGCTGCCTGAATGGCGGGGAAGCCCGCATAGAGTTCAGGATTTAATTCAAGTTAGATAGGCGTAGACCCTACAGTGTTGCACAGGAGTCTTGGCAGAGTGCGAGGGTATTGAAAACCAGATTGCATTAGCATTTTAGGGGTCAGTAGCATCCATAGCTCTTTTGCTAGATATTGGCTTGACCGTAAGAAACAAGGGTAGAAACCGAGTTACATGGCTGTATTCGGTAGCCATAGCAAATCTCATTAAATAGAGGAACCTGGTTCAATGTGAGAATAAGAGGTTCTCATTTCAGCACTAAAGTGAACACACATATCACTCTTCTCGCTTTGAATTTCGCTGTACTCTGTTTCGATCAACTGATGCGCCTTTCACTGTCGAAGAACAGTAAACAAAGCATTGTCATGACTTCAACTTATATCTACCAATAATCACATGTTACAAAGTTACACTTATTTTGGGTTTTGTGTTGGTATATGTCAGGCTCAAGACCTAGATGAGGGTTCAGTGTCAGCCAATGTGTCATAGTCTATAAACATCGACTGGATATAAGAAGTTTCGGGAGCAAGCTTTACTTTGTAGCCATATCTCGGATGGTATCTCAGCAATTTCCCATGACTGGTGAGAGATTAAAGACGGAGAATTGGAATTTACCACTCTAAGGAAAGACAGATATATCATACTGTAAGAAGTTTGGCATACTCCGCAGATTTTCATTCCCAATGTCAGTTGATAGCCAATATAATTGTTATAAGATCTCCGCGGTGGCATTCTATGCCTCGAGAATGTGATCCCCTCACATGGATGATCATTCAGCCTATGAAAACTTCTTTTCCCCAAAGGCACTCATCTCTACCTTCGTATTCCAATAGTTATAGAAATAATCTTACATATTCTCCGTAGTCTTCGAAACTGTCAGTGAATATTCTCCTGCAATATAAGTGCTCACTGGTGGGCTACGCATTGGTGATATAGTAAAATGACAATGATTCAATGGATTGCTCTATCCACTGTTGATCTACTATGTAACTGGACAGAGAGTTGCCCTATGCTATTGTGTTTCTTGTGACTGAGCCATCTTACCCTCCGAATTGCACACTTCCTCATCAAGATGCCCCCTTCACATTCCCACCACAACGCAATCGAGGAGAGATCCACAACATATGACATCACTATGGTCCAAGGCTCGCGTTCCATAGGGCTATACTTCTCTTACCATCCTGCGAGCATGTATGGGTACCATTGCGCACTGGATACTAAAGTTGCCATTTCCTCGCGCTTGCGACGTGGCTTTCCAGACCGAAAGACAAGTGCGGAGACGGCGGGAAGGGGATGAAAGAATGATGACAATGATGTGTCTATCCGCGGATAAATGGAGAAAGGGGCATTCTCAACTCCCAGTCTTGTGTCGGAATGTCTGCGCTGTTTATTCCTGGAGCCAAACGGGTTTCTTCTCTTTCAGCGAATGAGCTCCTCGCGGTCGCTGCCACCCATCCACATGCAAGCATATATATACGCCTATTCCGTTCTGAACAGGCTGCTGAGTCTTACCATCCATCCATACTTCTCATCTTTGTCTCGTCTGTACTGCTAAAATCACAATGAGGTTTCTGGCAGCCCTGTCTTCAGCAGCCCTTATGGCAAGCTATACTTCAGCGCAGTCTACACCTTACGAACACGTAAGTCAAGTCCGATGAACATCAACCGCAATTGCTGCGTCGTCCTTCTTATCACTCATTCTCGATACGTAATGCTTACTCTGGACCTAGACATTGCTATTTCCGCAGGCGAACTTTCATGGTACTGATGGCACTGTTGTCACTACTCAGTGCACCACTTTGCCAGGGTGAGTGCCACTCCTTGCTCCCCAACAATCCAATTAAAATGCGAGGTATCTGGCTAGGGAACCGAGTTACTGACTGTTTGTAACATAGTGACGCCCGTATTGGATCTATCCGCGTGTCGTTGGAGGAGTCTTGCATTCTGTATCCGTATGGTGGTGCTCGTTCCTGCTCCAATTGATCAAGCAACTAACAGAATCAGAAATAACTACTGTCAAGGCGATGTTATACAGGAAGTCGATGACAATGTGGCTCAATTCCCGGACTCTGAAACCTGGATTGGTGCTCTCTGTTCTCCCGACGCTTCGGCTGACGGTGATGATGATTTTTGATCGATCGATGATCGCCTCAAACTATTATTAGTCGTAGTTCCACCCCATCAGACCTCGGTTTAACTTATCATTGCTTTTTATTCAATGTACTTCATGAAGCCTTCGAAGGATTTGATAGTAGCTTATCTTGATCAGATTCTATCTACACCTAAAATAATTGGACTAGAGCGACTATCATACCGACATAGCAGGGATCTACGTATTCTCCTTTTATAGGCTCAAAAGGCATCTGCCGCTCTAGAAAAAATCTGTGATCAAAATGACCACTAATTCACGGCAACTTCCAATGGCTAATCATTGAAAATAGCATAGTGAACTGAAATTTACCAGTGTAGTGAACGGCAAGTGAGGCCTCCACAAACTTATAATTTCTCCATTATTCCCAATGTATCAGACTTTTTCAGGACAGACATAGTATTCACAGTAGCAGGCACATTTGGTCACCCTTTGTCTGATATGGGGCTTGTTATTCCTCATGTGAATTACCCATGTTTGGATTGACTTTTTAGTGGCCTTAGAACAATATGAATACTCCAGACCTCCGCAGTCTCCCCTCAGTGCCTTTTCCTCGGCTATATGCCATCTTCCTTCCAAGATTGCCGACAGATTTGTGGCCTCGTCGGGATTCCTTTCGTGGGAATGGGTCACTGTCGAACGCCTTACTCAAATGGCCCCAACTCATTCACCAATAGTGACGAAAATGGCTACATAGGCAGGGTACACCATCAAGTCCGGGAGGGAGGGAGGGAGGGAGGGGGGGGGGGGGGGGGGGGGGGAGTTCCCGAGACGAGCAGCCAACATTTCTTATAATATTACGGAACGACGAAGCTTCATTGTCGCTAGGCCCGAGTCTGAAGGAAGACAGCCATATTCGGGCACAAAGCTAGTTTGATCGCTGATATGCCAAGGGTCAGAATCACTGACCAACAAAAAATGGCATCATCGCAAACCATAATGATTCCTGGTGTCCGTGCAGTGATGTTACGTGTACAGAAGCTTCACCTTCGGCACACAGACATTCCAGTATCGCCTGGAAGGTAGGCGTCACTGGGCTGAGAATACTCGCCACAAGAATGGGGAGGTGTTTCTGTGACATTGCACCCAGTCTATGACCAGATGAGCCTTGGTTGGTTCTCGATCGCTGAAACCCACCTCAATTACTGAAGTTCTATCATGATCTCTACTGAATTCTTGCTCTTCCTCGTTGTCTTCAAGCAGTTATCCCGGAGTGAGGATCTGAAAGAGGACTGAAAAGTTCCATCTCAGTTCTGTCATCGCCACATAGTGAGAATGACTTGAACATTCAGTATTGAATAGCCCCTATGCTGGGCAACTTTGTGGGCAGTTCCTCTACTACGGACTACTGCATTCAGCGTAAACACTCTTCATTAGGTTGAACAAGACCTCCTAGGGGGTGTGTATCTTCTTCAATCATGCCATTTTGACGTACGTCAGTGCTTCTGTCAAAACTACAAGCTTCCCGAGCGGTTCATGACTACGTTGCTTCGTCATATCTGACCGTGGAGGACAGGAGCAGCCCACCCAAAATTTTGGAGTTATAAGGCGCAAAAAGAGCGCAATTAAACTCGGCAAGATGTCATTGAGATTGAACACATTGGGGCACTCCAGAGCCAGGCAGCGGACTTGTTAGATATAATCGTCGTTGCATTCCCTCTGACGAAGCCTTGCTCAATCGCCATCTGGAATACGTCAGGTACCTCACTCTCACCTGCTCCAGTGCATGCGTACCAGCATTTACTTCTGTGACATGGCCAAGGAGCTTCGGGCGCCACCCAACAATGAACTGTTGCTAACGCTGTTATTACGGCTGGTCGGTCGTTCCTTATGAAGAGTTGGCTTTTCACAAATGTTTCAGCGAAATCTTCAAGTGGGAACCAATGCAGAACTCATGCCTTTCTAACAAGGTCAATAACATGGTACAAGGTACAAAAGACAGTGAAGTACCATATACACATATGAGGAGATACGGCAGCTGTCTATTATGCCATGGCGTGGGATGAATGCAGCTTGTCTCTTAAGCAGAAGCATGGCGATGACAAGAACGCGCTTCATACACTCCGCACAATGAGAAAGGAGCTGTCTGGGGCAATTTTCGAGGCACTAATCTGGATTTTGTAATCAGACGTGCTCTTGATAGGCCGTGAAAGTGCCTGGTTTTTACCTTATATACGACAGAGAGCTGGCTGCAGGAATGCTGTCCATGGGCAATCCTTGGAGATCTAACATTACCTGTTGCTCTTCGACATGGCCATTGCTTCTGAATAGTACCTTGCATCAAAACTCACCTCCCAAAGTCGATTAAAATTGCCAGACCTACAGCGGCTAAATGCTAATTTATACATACATATTGATTTTGTCTCGTCAACGATTGGGGCATCGAACATTTTTGCATCTCGTATGGACGACCCAATACTTCCACAACCCAGTTTTCTTGTTCACGCAGAGCGTATCAAGCGCAAGCCCTCCATTATATCTTGGTCAGACGAGCTCAAATATTCATAGAAGGGCAGCTACAGCGTCAATCGGCAAATTGAGGCACACATTATGAAAACAATGACCCGTGCCTGTGAATGGCCAACGCAGGATCGTGCCATTATAGCATTATACAAGATGTGATTATAGCCAGAATTGTCCAGGAGGAATAAAGGCAGTCATATTACTGACAACGCTGGGCCGCAGAGAGCTTCTTCTTCATTTTCTTCGCCATTTCTTCGCCTTATCTTTCCATTTCCTTCCTTTCCAATTCTTCCTTCAAACCCCCAACTCAAGTCTTCATCCTCCTTGAGAAGCCTAGTCAACTACCTCTCCGGATTTTTCAATAACTCTGTTACTATATGAACACTCAAAATGAATCTCTGGCAAGATGCCTGGAACTCCTTGGACCCTTCCCTGCAACACAGCCTGGATGATGAGGTCTCAAACAACCTGAAAGAACAACAGTCTGTGACTGCTAACCCCCCCACCGGAGGCAACACAAGAGAAAAGCGTTACATGCCACAGCTACGAAGGATCTTTTTCCACGTACAACAACCGAGTTCACATATGATCAAATATTGCATCTATTATTACCTCAGGAATGCAGTCTCAGTGGACTGGATTTGGTCTTATTGCTACAAGATCTCCATTTCTGAAACTGTCCAGAACCCACCCTGAATATTCATCAGACAGCTCGAACACTTGATCGACTCCTGGGACGCCACCGTGGCAGTTATGGAAGACGTCGATCTGGAACCTAGAGACAGAAACCTTGCAGGCTGATCATTATGACAAGTACGCCACAAGGTTTGCACTTATTTACAAAATACTTTCTTGCCGACGTATGCTCCATAATGCCTATCTCGCTCACAAATGACGCGATCTCCCATTACTCTCCCGAGCGCTGTCCCTGTTTTTGTGCTCGAGGACCTTACAGGCGAGACTTTGGTGATGCTCTACCCAAGACAATTTACCAAATGATTCTGTCCAAAGAATGGCTGACAGTACACATTTTCCTGGTTGTCTGTGATCCATCAAAGAAATATGTCGCAAAAGTCATCAATTACTGCGAGACGAAGCTACCCTGGGGAAGAAAGTGAGGAAGAAAGCATCCCATTTACATCTACGTCTGATTGAGCAGACATTGAGCTAAACAGGGAAAGCGAGAAAAGGGGATTTACTGCCGTATCTATGCCCAATGTTTTCATGGAAAGAAAGCAGGAGCGCTGATTAATCGAGGATCATTGAAGGGCAGGCTAGAGAGACGTGTCAGGACTTGGGAATACACAAATTTGCGTGATTATCTTCCATACAGAAGTGAAACCCCCACAATATATGATGGAACTTGAAGCGAAAGAGGAATAGAAACCACCAATGCATTATTTCATTGAATAGGTTATGAGCCCGGATGGGTTTAACTATCTATTCTGCCTTCGACTCAAGTGGGAAATCTTCGGAACACAGCGCAGACTCTTATCAGTACTTTTCACGAAGGATACTTCTTCAGAAAGCTTGGAATCCAATCAACAGGTTATGAGCCCGATGCCTGTGTCTCGAATATCTCATCAGCACAGGATAACTTCAAACCAGAATAACAAACATGGCGATCTCACTTCTCGTGAATAGAGTACCTTCTGGAACTGTCACTACCATCTTTAGGGACGAAGAGCCATATGTCATCTGAAAACACTCTGCTGGTAATAGGAAGGCAGGAGAGGAAAGAACTGAAAGCGTAATTTCTTACAGGAAGATCCTGTACAAAAGACACCAGTCATCAGCTACATTGAACCTTTGATGACCTTAAGGAATGCTCACACCCCCAGCCTGAGTGCTCTTATACCGCCCTCTTCGTCGAATTAAGCTTTGAGGAAGGTAATGTCCATATCAGTCTTCCGAAACTGCATACATTGATCTCGCCCCAGAGACATCCTATGACGGGCGAAGAGGCGTATGATGGGCTTCAATTGTGACTGAAGGGAGGGTATAATCTCTCCTATTGAATTATTGATACTGGTTTTTTTATCTTGGGGTCTATATGTATGTGGAAGCAAAAGCGTTCTCATTAAATACTATATCAATATTATCATCATATCTCAATATAGCGGGAATTAGCGGTTTCAAGTGTTTGTATATAATCCATCAATATCTCAAGGCGGGCGTTGGTGGTTGGAGACCACGTAGGCAAAGATAGCAAAATATCAGATATTGCCAAAGATTAGAGTTTTGGAGATGCTCCTTCCACGTCAAACTCAGTTGTACAAAGTAAGAAGGTGTCCTTCAGAGCCTGTAATAGATCAGCAACTGTAGCCCCTTGACTACCAGACACTAAACTTACCGACAATCGATATTTCTCGTTGATCTCCTGGTAGTCCTGCCCAGCAAGCATATCACAAAAGTGGCGGATAGAAGGATAATGCACGATGGATATCTCATTCCACCAATCCTCCTCCTTTCTCTCCCAGTCTCCTCTCGAGTCCACGGCATTCGTAGTTCCAGACTTTGGC